AACATAAAAAAGAAAAATGAAATACCTAAATACCTAAAAAAAATTTCTTTATATATCAGGCAGAGAGAGAGAGAGAGAGAGAGAGAGAGAATATGAACATCTTGCAAATGCTGAGCAATAACATAAGAAGTGCTCTGTGTTGTCTACATCCTCGAGGCACAATTGTCATCACAACTGTGATGATAACTGAAGTGGTCATGTAGTGATCATCTCTGTTATTTCTAATAATAGATCGGTTTAATGTTTTGAAATCTTTTTTCTTTAAAATGTGTTTAGTAGAGTTCTTTTGAGATCCTCCCTCTTTAAAATACATTCAGTAGTGTCTTTAGGTTAGTTCAACTTTAAAGATCCACTAAATGTAGATCATCTTATAGATCATCGTGAAGTGTTATAAATTATAAAACGACTTTTGAAACCTGTATGTATACTGTTTCTACTATATTGTTTAAAAATTAATGGAGACAAAAAAAATATATAGTAGGATTTCCGAGAACATATACGAGTCTAGGCCACAGCATTTAAATCTTTGCTGTACCGAAAATAAAGCAGCCCCCTATTTGGACGTACTCATAAATCAATTAGTTAACGATTGAACAATACAATGAGGAGTGAACAATACAATGAGGTATGGATTTTAGCTATGTGCTAGTAATAGATTGATGTATGAGCTATAAGGCACCGATTTAAGTTTGACCCAAACAGCTTGTGCTATTTAATTCATTGCCTTTTCATATGATACTCAAAGGTCTTTTAAAAACATCTTACCTATGAGACATGGTTTCACAGTCTGTTATAAGGTACTGATTGAAGTTTGGTCCAAACAGCTTGTGCTGTTTAATCCACTACCTTTTCGGATCGGGCATACACTTCGAAAGGCTTCTACCGAAATTTGTCAACAGGCGTTGGTATACAACCTGTAGGGTAGCAGGGGAAGAGGTCGTCCAAAAACAAATGAAGAAGGTCAACGTTAAATAAAAGAAATATTTTTTAGCAGCCCCTAGGAAGTAGAATAAGCAATATTACTGATATAAAAGACTTAGCGTTGCGGCGCGAAAGATGGAAGCGACTTATAGACAGCCTGTGCCCAGTGTAAAGGGCTGCTCGAAATCATTGACGTCGAGCAAAGCTTATTATTATTATTGTTATCGTTAAAAGTAAGAAAAGAAAAAGAACTAGCGACTAAAGAAATCGACTCGTCGCCTTATTCTCCAGATGGCGTACAGTGTGAACCAGTGCTCGACTACTATATGTAAAAGCACTTTAACTCATTGGTTTATACAGACAAACAAGCATCAATTTAAGCCTTAATTAAACATCAAAACAAACATCAATTGTACTATACGTAAAATATGGATTTATATAATTGAATAGTAAGATCATAGAGATCTACTAAGATCCAATTTCTGATACTCTCGCATTACTTAACGAAATTTTTATATCTCTTAAATGTAGCTATTAAACCATTGCTGAAATAACAAAATTTGTGTCCTTAAAAGTACAGAATCTGACAAAAATAATTAAATTAAACATAGTTAAAAAATAGTTTCTAAATCTAGAAAATTAATCAAAAAATCAACATTTCACACCGTCAATTAAGTTGTCGTGCTAAAAGGTAGCATATTTTCAGGCGCCTTTCAACCGAGTTTTCATTTAAATTTTAATGACACATGTCAAATGTAATTATTCTGTTAGTCCTGTGATTGTTTTAGCAAACAAATCACATAATCACGCACTTTCTGAGCACAAATTATAATTTAAAAAGTTTCACAACTGCAGTTCAGTGCAGTAAATACGGTAGTTAAAAACATTTTCACCAAAATCCAATGAAACTTTTAACTTTTCACTAAACGGAATGTCACCGAGAATTTGCAAAAAATATATTATAATTTATGAAGTGAAACGGAGTAATGAAAAAGCAACGAAAGTGTACCAATGAATATATTTAATTAAAAGTTCGGCCACGATAAATAGAATCGGACACGGACTCGGACTCGGATTTAGATTTAGATTTGGACTCCGGCTCAAATCAAGTTTGGAGTTGGATCCACACTTGTACAAATCTGAAATAATCTCTCGTCAGAGGAACTTTCAGAGGACATTTCAACAAATAAATCTGTTAAAACAAATGACCCCGCCAGGCACAGATCAATTCATGTTAAAAAACAAATTGAAATGCGACATTTACACTGGCGTGCAACATGCAACATGCACCACACATCGCTCACACTCTGACTCAGACTCAGACTCAATCCACAGTACACAACCCAAAGTACCCATAGTAAGTACCGTTGAATATTTGCTCTTCTGCAAGCTTTAAGTGCAGAGAGATGTGCGACAGATGGAGAATGGGGAAAATTTTAGGAAAAATTCATACATTGTTTTTGAAAAGGAAACTAAAACACAATATAAATTTTTAGCATTTTGTATTTTGCATAATAAATTTAGCCAAAAGGGATCCAAGGCAAAGGATAAGTTTATGAGTTTTAAGTTTTATGAAAAATGCAAGAGAAATATTTTAAAAATTTAAATCTGCATTAGAAAAAATTGGTAGAAGAGAATACTGTTGTGTGTGCGACGAGTAAAGAAATTAAAAGTTTTCATAAAAACTTAAAAAATTTTATTAAAACATTTTTTTTTTTGCTTTGTAAACGCAATTAAGCAATAAAACTTATCCAGAGTTTTATAATTTAATGAATAAATGAATAGTATTTTTCAAAAAATTTAACAATTGCCTTGATATCCTGTCAGAAGGTCATTGGGCAAATTAGCTTCAGCTTGTTTGATCACATTTGTTTAAGTATTAAATTCGATTAAATTAAATTTTCAGTATAATCAATTATACAATTAAACTTCAGCACATATTCAGTAAGATTATAGTTAGGTTGCCACATAATGGAAAAATGTACTTTTTTAAGTGAACCAAGCCAACTGACGTTACAGAGTCCAGTTTTTTTTTTTACTGTGATTACCTCTCATTACGGCTTAACACCACCGTGCTCTTAACACACATATCCGATAAACGACCTACTGAAATTCCAAGGAATTCCGCCAGTGTACATTGTAACTACAAGTTTGGATAAAGTTTTCTCCTTGGGAGGGAGAGAGATTTAGCCAATACCTCTGCTGTTCTTTTTGGTACAACATCCACTTAAAAAATGCAACTCCACATGAAATTCAAGTAATGATTATAAACAGGTTTTTTTCGAAAAGTAATGAATTACAATAACACATATTCTTTTTTTTATATTATTTTAATTAATTGAATTTTTGTTTCGAGTATTACCAAATACCCATCATCAATGGTCTTGGAAATAATTCTTGTATTTAATTATTTGTAAATAATTTATTGAGATTGCAAGTACCAGAAATCGAACTCGTGCCACTATAATACACCTGAGTGTATTATAGCAGCCACTATAATACACCTGAGTGTATTATAGCAGCCACTATAATACACCTGAGTGTATTATAGCGGCTGATTCATTTCACTTATACGAAAAATTGTGTTAAAATTTTCTGGATTATTTAAATAATATTCAAAATTTTGTATAATGAGGTGAAAATATCACGCAGTACAAAAACAAAAAGCTTAATGCTAAACAATGGTGGATGATGAGTTTTGCTATTTTGCCCACCCAGTCCCTATTCACCACGATATTTGCTAACATAAGCAAATATCGGGTTTGTTGAGATTAAAAATCCGTTTCGAGAAAATGCACCAAAGTTGCAATTAGGTGCATAGATATTATATTACTAAAAAAAAGGCGGAATTGAATTTAAATTATATTGCTTAAATAGAATTTACATTTATTTATAAAAATAGTGGCTGGCACAATTGCTGTATGTAGACTTTTATAGTACATCTTTTTAATAGCGCATGCGCCATCTACTCGCAGCTAGAAATTAATTTAAATGTAATCGAATTTTTAAAAACAAATAAATGACATAATACAACTTAATATAATTAATTATTAATTACCTTATAGTTTTCCAAAATATATTTTATTAGTTTTTTAATTTTTTTTTTTTTTAAAAAACGCCACACATAATAATATTGCACGTAAAGACATTCACAACTTCTTAATTGAGCGCATGCGCCATCTGTTAAATATTAGCTATTAAATAAAACGAGATGCACATTGCCATATTACACAAAATACTTATACGATATTATTTAGAAAAAGTAAAACAAATTAATACAAATGATTATAATAACAAATTAGTATTTCATGATGGATTATAGACTATTTACATATAGCAAACAATTGCTATTTTGGTTGTAATTTTTTTCATTGGATTTGCTTGACTAAAACTTTGTTCAAGCAATAAATTTAAATTTTTCCATAATATTTTTTTCATATATATTTATGTAATAGCATTCGTTTAAAGTGATTTTCATTTAAAGTGATTATTTCCACTTTTACTACACAATTATTCTATTTTAAATTTCGAATGTAATTTTAAATTGATTTTTTACGAAATACAATTCTATCGACGATTTGGTTGTTGAATTATTGTACGTAATTGGATTGTATTTTTGACTTGATTTTGTAAAGATGTCGTTTGGGATTACAACTTAATTTTGTAATGAAATGCATTAATGTGTCGAAATAGTCCAATGAATAATATTACAATCAAAATTCAATTATATGTTATGGACCACATATAAGCAGATGACCAAACGTTTTTATTTTTTTTTTGTCATAATATTAGTTAAAATCTGAAGTATTAAAAATAATATGAAATGTTGTTGATCGACAATAAGATTCAAATAAATATATTAATTTATTTTTTTAATTGCGTTCTCATTTACAAATTGCTAGTTTTGAGTAGATGGCGCATGCGTCCATCTGGCAGGAACAAAACTTTACATTAGCAAAAGTCTACAATTTTTGCAACTGTCACTTTGACGTATTAAAAGGTAAACAAACCGGCACAATTTCATTCGATTTTTGATTTTCATATCTAACACAAAATTTTTTGCAATATTAAATTTTATTGTTAAAGCAAATTTTAAGTTTTTAATTAAAGCATTTTAATGCAATTGCTTGTAATGATTAGTTAAATGATATTCACTTTTGCTTAATTGAATGCTTATTTACCAAAAGTGGTGGAGGTTCTCTTTAGTCAACAGAGGATAAGGATGATGATGTCAGAAATATTTAGTTTTGTCACGTATGTATGTAATAAATATATGCAAAATTAATTAAAATAAAATGTATTCTTGTGCTCAAAAAATAATTCCATAATTTCAGTTGTAAAATACGACAGCGGGAACAATTTCTGCATTTAACATAAAAAAATGGATTTTGAAAAAGTAGCACACAACCTGAACTATATAATGCATTTCATCAGAGTCCTAAATTTAAGCTGTTGCTAACAACAGCAGAGCCGCCCTAAAAGTTTCCTAGTGCAGCGCATATTATGGACATTTCTTGAAGATCTTAAAGTGGCTTGGTAGTTGCTGAATTTATATTTATAATTTATTTTTATTATATCACAACAAACAATATGAATCCAAACAATATAATGTAAACGATATTGTGCTTTTGTTACATACATAAATGCTAGTAAAAAATAAACAAAAGTCATCAGATTGAATTGATAAACATGTATGAAATGGAAATACTATTATGTAGTCTTGAATGTTATTATTTACCGCATAGGTGAAGTGGCAGTATATAATTTTGGTATGCAATAATAATATTTAAATAAAAAGTATAATTTTATAATATCTTTAGCTTGTCTGTAGTTTCAGATCAATCAGTGGATATATTCACTTGTGGTCACCAGTAAAGATTTAAGGTTAAAATTTGGTATTATGAAGCATACTAACACCTTAACCTCACAGATTCATATCAAATGGAAATCTGCAAAGTATTTAGGATAAAATAAAGTAAGCAAAAAATTTTATATATAGTTTAAGACAATATTATAATATATATATACAAATATAAATCGATATATACTATACGTGTTAACAATTGAGACATAAAACAGTTTATATATTACTCTATGTATATTTTAAGAATCGAAACAATTCTATTAGAGTATATGATATATATATTATATATATATTATATATATATTATATATATATTATATATATATATTATATATATTATATATATATTATATATATATTATATATATATGTTAAAGAAAAAAGCACATTTATGTTAAACTTTTTAACATAAAGCAATGTGATTTCAATTTGTTAAATCAGATTTTCATTAAATTAACATCTATTATAATTGGAAAATCTATTATTATATATATATATATTATTCCTTATATATATATTGTATAGTATAAAATGATTGTCTTCTTCTTTAATATATTTATGTATATAAAGCAAAACCATGTAAGTTATTGTAAATTACTATTTTTTTGAGATACATACTCCTTCCTAAACCTGAAATTAATATCTCTATTTTGATTTACTTCTATTTTTTAGTAGAAACGAACGTTTTTACGTTTAATTTGAAATAAGAAACTCAAAATACAAATTTTTCAGTAATGTAAACTGTGACTAAAAAGCTACTAATTAATTTTAATTAATGACTTGTCTGTTTGTCTTTTCTTGCTTTTCTTTTATTTAGGAAGCAGTGTTTCATAAATTTATTATAGAAAGCATATTTCATTTCGTTTAATTTGATAGAGAAAATGATTCTATTTATTTTTTTTTCACAACATTTAAAAATGTGCTTTAATAAATAAATGTGAAAAACCGTAACGTGCAAACTTATATTAAAATAAATATTGGTAACAGTAATAGCATAGTAATAGTAATGTAAGAGTAATAATATTGTAATAGTAATAATATTGTAATAGTAATAATATTGTAATAGTAATAGTAACATTACTTTTATAAATAGTATTAAAGAGATAGTAGAGATAGTATAGTTCGTCTACCTACTGATTAATTTTTTATTTCATCAAAGCATATATATTCTTATTAATAGTACCCATGTATATATTTAAATATATGTATATATCCTCCATCAATTCGTGTCAGTGGCCGTCTTTGGCGAACTATATATAACAGACATGCAATTTTACAAATGTTTTTTCCTATATAATAATAATGAAATACATATTTCAGTTTTTTTTTTTATTGAAATTTATTTTTTTAAAAAATTAAAGCTTGTGTGCGACTTGATGCTGTCTTTTTTTTTAGTAAGTCACCTCCTCTAGGTACTACAAAATGTCGTTGTAAATTACATTCAACCATTTCAGATGTTATTTCAATGAGAGATTTCCCCAAAGTTTATTAAGAAGATTAAGAAAATTAATCGGTTTAAGTAATGCAGTTAGTGCTAATATTTTGGCATCTTATAATAGGGCTTCTCTTCAGGCATATTAACTTGAAGTCTTAAAAATGACTTAAATATGTATCAGTTTAGTAAAGCATGACGTTGACTTAAATTTGAATTCCACCACCCATCCCAAATTCATTCTTACTCCTAAATAATTGCCTTACTTCTCTCACTACCATCAACATTTCCATTACCATTCTCATTACCATTTCGATAGATCAATGTGGGAAGGCATGACTTAACAACAGCAACTTAAGTATGACGTAAAACAGTATTGGGACCCATAAATAATATACAGTCAAACTTCGATAACTCGAACTTCTATAACTCGAATTTTCTATAAATCGAACCGAAAACAGAGCACCAAGGTTTTAGAGAGCAAATTACATATAATTCTGCTTCCGTAACTCGAACTTCTATAACTGAATTTCTCTATATCTCGAACAAAAATTTTGTTCCGTGCCGATAAGAATATAGGGAAAGTGCATTCTATAAGTCGAATTTTTGTTTTAAGTGTGAATACATTTTAGTGTTAGGGAAAGTTGCTTTTTCAAGGCAAAATGTTTAATTTTTTTTCTTATGTTGCTTCTTTGTAGAAATTGCAGTCGCTGGCAGCGTGATTTTCAATGCTACTCTTAACGATTATATTAAACTTGACAATAAAATTTCTACATCAAGCTTTCCTACAAATAACGATAATATTGAGCACTATAGCTCTAAATTACTGGATCCAATTCTTAACGCAACGGAAAGTGATGATGAGGGTTCGGTGGATGTAATTGCTCATCAGCCTTCCAAGAATAAAGTAGAGGACTTATTTAAAATTATGAATTTATTTTTGCAAACGAATGATATTACAACTGATAGTGTTAAGAGTATAAATAAATTGGAATCTCTTTTTACTGAAAATAAGAAAAAAATTCCAAAGTCCCAAACCCTAATTTCTGAATATTTTACTTCACTATAACTTCTGTGCTTTATTTGACTACAAATAAATAAATATCTTAAAATGTATTTCTAGTTTCTTTTAAAAATAAAAAAAATACTCTAAATCGAAGTCTCCATAAGTCGAACCTTTTCTTTGTAAAATTGGACTTTGAGTTATGAAAGTTTGACTGTATATGAAATTTGACACAAATACTCACACTAAAACTTAAGCTATCCTACTTTAGCTAAGCAGATTTCTCTAAGTATTGAGACCCATAAATGATATATATGAAATTTGACTCAAATACTCACACTAAAACTTAAGCTATCCTACTTTAGCTAAGCAGATTTCTCTAAGTATTGAGACCCATAAATGATATATATGAAATTTGACACAAATACTCACACTAAAATTTAAGCTATCCTACTTTAGCTAAGCAGATTTCTCTTTAATCACTCTTCATCCTCTCAATCACGGATATTTGTATTAAATCCTTAGCTTTTTTAGTTAGAAAAACAAATCTTTATGTTTATATATTTTACATATAAGATTTTAATTTAATTTGGGAAAAACTCAATTGTTATCCACAGGAAAAATTTAACTTCTGAAATCACATATGCAAATTTCTATTTATCATCAATTGTGAAGCTCACTAATTAAGTTATAAAAGTTTAAAATTTTATGTTACCAATGTGCAAACTGTTCTACACAACGAGCCTTCTAATCCTTATACATATATATATATATACATACATATATTAGGTAAATAAGCAATAATAGAATCTTATAAAAGTACATGTGCCCATATGCGAGCCTATTTTTTTATCACTGCTCTAGTCACGTATTTTAATCAAACGTAGTTTGAATTTTAATTTAGAAACAAAATTTTGGCTTATTTTAAAAATGTAACCTTTTCCACTTAAATTGTAGATGCCTTAAACAGTTCGCAAGGCTTAGATGCGCCGTTGTGACAATCAATAGAAAGGAAGAGCGGAAGGCAATTGTTTTAGTTTTCCATGTGGAATTATTCTATAAGTAAAAGCACAAGAACACCTATGCAGAGCCATACGAACAGTACAACAGAACAGCAGAACAGCTTAGACATATCTGTTGGTACAGAAAAAGAAGAATGGAAAGTACCAAACGCGACGGAAACTTACTTAATATAGGATGGGCCACTGCAAAAAACTTATCTACATTAGCAAAGGAAATGAAGTATTAAAGCTCGAAGCGAACATTTTTGGTAAGACCCCAAACAATAACGACAATAAAGCACTTGATAAAAGAAACCTTTCTGGTAATTTCACTCGCGTACTAAATCGATTTCAGCATTGAACTCGTATCTGTTCCGTTCGCTTTGTACTTCTGCATATACAAATAAATTTTATTATTACGTTAAGGATATTGAATTAAGCTATTCATACTCGTGTACCAGAAAGTATTATCCTTTTCGTATTTATTTGCTATCAATAGCATTGCTCATGAATGTGCTTGGCCTTGAGGCAGCAGTTTTCTTTGCTTGCTTATTTTATGCGATTTTTATTATACTTTTTGCATTCTCTTTCACACTTTAACTCACACCTTTCCAAAGTTCCACAATTCCACCATTCCACCACGTACCATACTTCCTTATACAAATAATTTTTTTGTTTTCATTAGGATATGATTTATCCTGGAAGAATGTATAAAATATCGCCTGCGTAACTTGTTTATCACTACAATTGACTTCATACATGCCGGGGCACATAGATCTTTTATGAGCCTTTTTAATACTTCGCTTCAATAAATGGAAGATGGAAGATGGAGGATGGAAGATGGAGTATATGAAATTGAATTTAAAGTGCAAAATGCATTTGTGTTGAATTTAAGGAAAATTCGCACAATATTTGATAGTCAGAACATTGATATTACCAAATAGAAAGGTATTGATTTGCTTTGTAAATCTCCATAAACTGACATAACATCACAAAGCGTTTAGAAAAGCTTGACGTCATTTTAAGCCATTAATGTTGTTACTTTATTCGAAAAATAATTTAAAACTATATCTATAGTGTAAGATAATGTGTTCCTACTAGTGCATTACTTTCGTCAAAGTACCATGGTACATTAGCGCACATGACTTCATTAGTGACCTCAAGATTGATCCCATCAAAAAATACATAAAAAATAGAACCCTGAAATTATTTACGAAAACTGACAGAATTATCAACACTGCGTTAACAAATCTCAGAGTGGTTACAGGCTCCTCGAGGAGGTATGCAGATCTGCGATCAATTATTGCTTAGTCTGATGAAGTGATAAACAATAATCCAGTCAAGGCGTAAAGACCAGACCTCGAGTTAAGAAAGGGTAAAAGTGCTCAAGTGTACTGGCTCAAATAGCTTCAACATAATAATTATTTCTAGTATTGATATATAATGATTAACATTACGAGAACAAAACAAAATATATGACGGTTGAAAGAAGTACGCATAGCCGAATTTTAGAGTCGAATTTAAAATTGGTGGACTCCCTTTAAAATCACAAATATCTGGATGTCCTCATTAATAGCAACAATGATATCAATGTTTGTATACAAAAGATTATTGTGGCAGAATACATAAGTTCTTACGGACACGTGAAAATCTTCAAATCTAAAATAGT